GCTTAAATGATGTGTCATTGTTCCATTCACCAAATTTTTGATTCTAGCGACTTTGTTCACTGCATTTTGAAGTGTTCCATAAAATGAACGATTTTATCCAGGCTCAGTTTTCAATGTATAGTTTGTGTATCTTTTATATAACTTGAAAAAAGAAACAATTCAATATCCTAGACAATCACTGTGAATTTTTCAAACTTGAGCCAGGAAAACCTGTATTTATAAAACACTCTTTACTGAAGTTTGAATGTTTGTGGAACATTTGTAAATCCCATTATGCACTTTACTGTATTGGTGATTCTTAAAGCCTTAACTTTGTTTAGGAATGAATCACTCATTATTATCTCTATGACTATGAACTATGACTTGACAATCAATCCTACATGTGGAATAACATTTTTCAAAACCCTTATGTACTAGTTAATCAGAGTTCAAACTTTTTCCTTCCTAAGTCTTTTGTCTGCAAAGGGATTTTCTAACTGAAGCTAATTCATTAGAATAACTTACAAGGGTGACATTGATCAAAATGAATTGTATTTATAAACTACTTTGTTACATGGCAACTCATGTGTACAATTACTTAAAGATAATAATAAAAGATAGCTAACAATTTTATGTTATTTCAAAAAAAGTGCAGTAGCATTTCCTTTATAATTATATTGAGGGAAAAAAAAAGCTGTTGAGTATAATCTATTAGAAAAGTTTAAGACAAGTTAGTGAAGCTAATAGTTACTGAGTGGCTATCTAGTAAATATTTTATCAAATCATTTCTAAAGAGCCATTTCTAACGAAACAATATAATTTGTTTCATTAGATGAATTTATTTTCCTTTTATTTTTTAAACTCAACACCACAATTTATTGTGTAGATAATAAATATAATCATCAACTTATGCTATTGTGTCATTTACAGACAGTTTCGTTTCCAAATTTCTAGCTATATTAGTTCAAAAAGTATTACTTGGATATTTATTAGCAAACATGAATGGTTAGTGCTAAGCACTCAAAAATAGATTCCTCATATCTTCAGTAATCTTACAGTCTATCATGGGTAGTAAGATATTTGTGTGTAACTAAACACAAGGTTAAAAAAATTGTTTTCTGAAAAAAGTTAAAGGTTAAAAAAAGTTGTTTTTACCTCTTCTCCAAGGCTGTGTTCTCCCCAGCTCTTTTTTTTTTTTTTTTTTTCTCCCCAGCTCTTAACACACAGCTTTGCACTTAGAACAAACATCCAGTTGTGGTTAGCTTTAGAAATAGATGTAAATTTATTTTGTGAATTTATTTCTATTTAATGGATTGGCATTCTTATTATCCAAATCGACTGAAAATCTTCAATCTGAAATTATTTATAATTAAAATAATATATTTTGCTGCATAGAATGTGATACTTTAATTCTCATCAGTGCTTTGTAGCATTGTACTCCATTTTCTGATTTTTATTTCAAGACTTGTTTTACTTAGTCCTTTCATGATATCCTAATGTCCAGCCTCATAATTTGTGTGGTCTTGCCTCCTTAACAAATTACTAGAAAAGGGTATAAAATATATGATTATCAGAGCTTAAGAGGAAGCAATTGATATTATTTGATTTCTAAAATTCAACTGTATCGTTCAATCAACCTGAATTATCACTGAACTGAGTCGTTATTTTAAAAAGTAGATGTAAAATAGATTTGGTTTTCTGCATCTTTCACAAGTTAATACTTTTTTCTCAGAATTTGGTAGAATAAAAAAAATCTGAATTTTTAAGGTAAAATGAAAGCTTGAGTGGTGTAAAGTCTTATACCTCTATGATTTCATGACTGTGTAATACTCAAAAGTAGAAGATATCACTTGTGTCATCAACTGCTATACAGGCAGCACCTATTTCCTCTCTCCATTTTATTCAACACAGTATTTTTCTCCCATTATTTAATCCAAAGAAAAAATTTTAAAGCCCCCTTATTAAAACACCTAGCTTAATTTCAAATGGAAGCGATACAATAGAATAAAAGAAAGGCAAAAAGACAGCCTTTCTTTTGCCTAAGTTTGACTCTAGCAGTTTGACTCTTACTTATGAATGCTTGCCACTGAGTCACTGCATACAGAATTATGAAACTTTAATTCCTTTAGAGGCTCGTTATATTAGAAAAATTGTTCCAAAGAAAGCAACAATCATGACATAAGCACATCTGGCTCTTGCAAATTATTCTTTATTAAGCTTTCATTTAATTACATGTGCTGAAAGGTCTGTTTTTGATTACTGTAATTTTTTTAGTTGTCCATCTGAATGATAGTAATGCTGGAAATTATATATAAACCACCTGTTTTTTCTCTCCTATAAATGTGGTAAAGTTTGAACTATTTTCTCTGTGGCTGACAAACTAGGAAGCTTTCTATTTATTATGATTGAAATTTGACTATCAATGTAATGGCTTAATCTTGATTGTGAGAAAAAGAAAATATTTGAATGAAGTTTTCAAGCATTAAATAGTCTTAAGATTGGGGAACTGACTTCTGGTTAACTACACCAAATGAACATTCATTTATTACTAGGTTTACCCCAATTCTAATATAGCAACAGTTAAGGATTGCAGGTGTAAGTTTTCAACTAGAAATAAAAAATGAGACTCAAAAAGCTTTTAGAATATGGGAGATGGGTAGATAAGTTATGCATGTCTAAACAAAAAAGAGAAATCTGATAGTTAAGCCTTTACAGTGAAATGCCAAAAAGAATTAAACCCAATTTGGAGCTGAATCCTTGAAATGCTTAGGAGTTGAAGATACCAGGTATCATTGAAGGCAGATGTAAAAGGTGAAATTTTAAAGAGGATAGCTGGTAGAAACAGATACTGAGATTATTCCCCTATAACCTTGTTCATCTTAACTCTATCACCTCTTCTCAACTACCACCACCATCTATATGTAACACAGCTGGAACTGGAAGTTTGTTCTTATGAGAAATTGAACATGGGAGGTTTTTTTTTTTTTTTCTTGAGTATCAGGCATAGCCAAGAATGAATGGTGATACAAACTTGAAAACAGAGTTGGCCCACAGTAAGAGCCCACAATTGCCTTCTGCTTTGCTTGCCTAATGTGCCATACAGGCCTTCCCCAAATTAAGGGGAACATTTGAAGTTATTTCCCTAACACAATGGCCCAGTATAAAATTCCTCAACAAAAAGTCTTTCTGCATCATCACTTTATACTGAGCCTGTCAGTCAGTAAGTCCATCCTTAGACTTTCAGTTGATTATGTCAGTTGTAGATGAATAAACAGTCAACACCAGAGGCATTAGAAAAGCTTCTAATAGGAAAGAGCTCAAGGAACTTGAAAGAAAAAGAGACAACAATGCAGAGAAGAGAAAAAACAAATCCTAAACCTATCATTCATACTTTCCCACAGAATAGAGAGCAGAATACTCTAAAAAGAAGCCATCAGAGAAAAAAGAATACCCTTACACCTATAACAGCAGAAGACTTAATGATTCATAGAAATCTTGAATGATAAAATTGGAAAAATATTTCAGAATAGAAAAACATTTGATGAGAGGCAAGTAGGGAGAAAAAGTAAGAAAATAAGAGGGTTAGTGAGGAAGTATCTAGGGAGAATAATATAGCAGGAAAGATTCATTTTTAAATTAATGTACTAACATTAAGAAATTGGAGAGCATGGAGACATGGTATGCTGAGGTAAGGAAAGCTAAACACATATACAATCTGTAGATAAGGATTCAGCAATATATAAGCACATACCAGTCAGATGTCAATGTTAATCAAAACAGTTCAATTACAAGAGATACACCCCATAGAGAGGTGGGGAGGAAGGTATGGGAAAACCCTAACCATCTTCATAACTGTGGAGGCTCTGCATTCTACAAGATAGCCATGCTGTTTTTGTGTTTGTTGTTATTGTTGTTGGTTTGTAAACCTTAAAGTAATACTGAACTTGTAAAAATTGATAAAAGTTTAAATCGTATAGAGACTAGACAACCTGGCTTTAGGTCTTTGTTCTGAATTCAGTTAAATCAATATATTTGGAGGTTTATTATTTTAAAATATATGATATCAGGTTTTTTGTTTAGCATATCTCATGGAAGAGGAGCTTTTTTTCTCCTTTCTCTTTATAGGTATACATTAATTGTATAGAAAGAAGTCACTGTGATATTCCATAGATGCATTATTGTACTTAAATCAAATTCACCTCACGATTATTCTTTCTTAATCCCCCTTCAAGAGGAGCATTTTAAGTCTTAGCAGATAGAATGAATATCACTGGTTTGTTGAGGAGATCTATAGGAAATATTTCACAGAGCAGGACTTGAAACAGCAGTGAGAATATGGGAAGTGTACCTGGAGGCCCAAAGTCAGAGCGTGAGGAGAGAAATCAAATGATCTTTCTGGATGAAGGAAGCACTTTGTTTCCTGGGTAGCTCCTGTGGCAGGAAAAAAAAACCATCTGACTTTTTGGTTTTATTGAAGATTACGTTACCTGTGATCTAGAGACCTGACCCTGAGGCAAGAGTAGCATTTACTGGGCCTCTGGGGCTGTGCAGGAGAAGGGCCAGAGTCCCCAGAGCTCAGTCAGTGGCGAGTAACAATTGTTTTTCTCCCAGGAACCTGGGAGAGGTTTAGGTTCATTTTGTAGCTCACCTATAACATAATTACATCAAATTTAAAGAACTTTTCATAGAGATTTTGGGAACTAGGAAGAACCTTAGTGACTATTCAAATTATTTTTGGCTCAATTGAAGAAACCGAGTTCATAGATGAAAATACTTGTTCAGAAAGTAATGTTAATGCTGGAAGGAACAGAACCATGGCTCCCATTCTGACATTCTTTCTCTATGCATTATTTGGTTTTTCTTATTTTTCTCTTTAAAGAATAGTGAAATTGCAAGGCTGTAAAAGAAATAGTTCTCTAACAATACGGTAAGGTTTTCTTTAAAAAACAAAACAAAAAAAAAAAAACACTCCATTTCAGCTGCATTTAAAGAGATCAATGTTTGTCTTCTCTGTTTTGCAGCAACTCTACGCAGCTCAGCTGGCCAGCATGCAGGTGTCACCTGGAGCAAAGATGCCATCAACTCCACAGCCACCAAACACAGCAGGGGCGGTCTCACCTACTGGGATAAAAAATGAAAAGAGAGGGACCAGCCCTGTAACTCAAGTTAAGGTAACTTGCTTTGCAGGATTGTGGAATCAGTTTGGAAAATAGCTTCACAAGGAAGGTAGTGAACCAGGCTATGTTGGGAATAAACAGCAGGAAGCATAGCAACATAAAGGAACCCCAAAATGCTCCTCTTTATGATAAATCTCATGATTGAGCTTGGAGAAACAGGTGTTTTCCTTTTGATAACAATAGTGCTATATTGTGAGATCTTTCCCTAACTGCAAAGTCACTTCTCAAAAAAAAAGTCTTGATTGGATTCTGGTTTTTAATGTTTTTAATGTTCATTGGCACAAATGGCCATGGTTTTATTGCCAGTCTTTGTCATAGACTTCCAACACCTCTCTCCGCGTTCCTTGAGCAGGTGGGGGAGCAACGTGTAGTACCATCGGAGAAATCTGAGATTTAAAAAAAGTCCCTCCTTCTAATTACGAACTAATGCTTTAAGGAATGAATAGTGTCATTACCTAGTCATATTCCTGATACCATATAATTGTATTAGGAAAAATAGGGCTTCTCAAGTTATATCTGAAACGTTAGTAGATGCCTTTTCTCACTGATTTTCCTCCCAGGTAGCACTTAGTGACAGGGAAATTGATGAGCTGCTGGAACTTTGTACTACCACTAGCACCTAAAGATGCTACTAGTTGTTTGGGGCTTTTGTTTTCCTAATAGAGACTTGATATCTAGGCTAGGGTAGCCTCAAACTAACTATGTAGTCAAAGCTGACTCAAATTTCTGGTCTTTCTAATCCCAGTCTTCCAAATGCTTAGATTATAGACATGGTCACCAGGCCAGCTTTTAAAAATTTTTTTAATTGTATTGGCTTTCTATGCTGAATTGTTGAATTTGAATAGTTTCAAGAATTAACTTCTTTGTAAGTTAACTTATGTTCTTGGAGAAGTATGGTGACTGTGGGAGCTTTATTATAGGAGAAAAATTTGCAGTTAGTATAATCTTCACATGGACAACAGTTGGGAGCAACCAAGCTCAACACTGGATACTATACAATCACTGAAATTGCTTTATTTAGTAAAATTTGCATGTAGGAATTTTAAGATTCTAAAGTCTGGGAGGGGGAACAGACTGTAAATATCAAAGATCAAAAAAGCAAACATCACTAAGATCATTGACATCTGTGCATCACCCCCCCCCCCAAAATTAATTTAATACCATCCATTCTTTAAGATTTTCCAAAGAAATAATTGAAAATTTTTATGTTTGGTTATAGAAATAGTAAGACATGAAACTAGGCAGTTTATATTTCGAAAAACAGGAAATGTAAACCTATGGAAACAGATTCTTTTGTATCCAGAAACGTTCTGTGAATATGAATCAGATCATCAGAGCACTACAGTTCAAACCAAGGCACTTGGTTTAATCATAGTTGCTAAAATATATCAAACATCAATGTCCTGAGCTAGTGAGTATTAAATATTTTAACATGAATAAGTCATTTTGTAAGTAAATTGGCCAATTGGAGCTGTCCCAAACCAAGCCTTTACTGGATGAGTAAAATGTTCCCTGGTAAAATTCAAGTTTTAACCATTCCATCTTTGTGGGCCAAAGATTTGCTTTTACCATTCCATCTTTGTGGGCCAACTGAATTTTATTACTCACTTTACCACATGCAAACTTTTAGGGAGTTCTCTATATAATTGGACTGGACTATATTTTATGTTAATAACAAAGGAAACATTTCTCATACTTATTAGACTATTGTATATGTAAGTAAAATACATAAACTAAGATATAAGGCCAGCATTTCAAATTTAATGCTCCTATTATTAAAGAACTTCTGAAAACAATCACAGTTTGCTAATTAAAATAATTATGATCACTGAGAACCTCTCAGATTGCTTTCCCTCTATATAATATGATCACATATTTTAAATTCAAAAATGAAATAGCGTAATATTTGCTGAAGGTAACAAATAAATATAAGTTCTTTACCTCCTCTTCCTCAGATTGTATTTTATGTACTATGTCTTTCAATATTAGAAATCAGAATATTTCTGTTCTTAAATAATTGTTATATCACTTTTACTAGCTTGGTTAGGTAGGACAAGTTACTTAACTATTTTCAGCCTTAATTTTCTCCTCTGTAAAATAGAAGTTAATATTGTTATGGTTCTTAACTGAGACAATATATACTCCAAAAATATGTAAGGAATATTCCATATTAATAATGATAATTATGTTCCTGATACTATTAGAGGAAATGAAGTGGTGGTTTAAGCGACTAGAGTTGACCTATATGGTTGCTTATTTGCATAATGACAGATTCTAACTAAGTACCCAGATGATCTCTATGGCAAATTGTATTATTTAGCCTTTCCCAGGCTAAATAACTAAACCTAAGAACAAAACTATTTGAAACAATTATTTTTAAAGACATTTATATAGGAGCACGAGACAGTGATCTGTAAAAAGTCAAGTAAAATGAACTTAAGATATGTAACTGTTTAAAGGAAGTTTCTCAGACACTGTATAGGAGCTTGCCAGGCTCCCTGAGTAGACAGACAGGCAGACAGATTGTAGAATATTATTTATTATAAGTCAGATTTATGAGACAGGGTACAAGAGAAAAGAGGTAATGCTGAAGAAGTTTCAAACTAGTCCACTGTGTAATTAGTTGAGTACTGATCAAAAAATCAAAAAATGCATGTAAGGAAGCTACCGAAGGCCCAGAATAAAATAGAGGGTAGCCTGCAAAAAAATGGAATTGTTCACAGTGTACCATGAGTAATTTGCATTCCATTATAGCCAGAATGTAAAGCTCTCTTGACATGAGGATATCAAGTGGAGTACCCATTGGGTATCTCCTTATATTGGGGCCAAAGTATTCATTAACCTACCTAACAAATATGAAAATTATGCCTAGAAAGCATAAAACAGTTCTGTTTTAGAACATAGTCCACAGATATTCAAAGAAAGAGATAAACTCTATTATCCAACAATGTAAAAACAATGTAAAAAAACTCACGTATAGAGATTCCATTCAATAACTACCAGAAACTACAAATAGTAAAGCGAAAACCAATCAATTTCAAATAGACTCAAATGACACAAATGATAGGATTAAATAGATAAGATAAAAAAGCAACTCTTGTAGAAAACTGCTAGCTAGATCCTAGTAAGGAAATAGGAAAACTTATTCTCTATAAAGCACCTATAGAGTTGTACAAAATTGACAGAAACAACCATTGCAACACTGAGGAATGTATAATCAGAGAAAATACTTATGCTTCTTATAAGAAAGTATTGTAGGCGTCCGTAACATTTTTGATAGGGCTATTTTTATTTTTTTTTATAGTTTATGCTCTTACTATTTTTTATTTTTAATAAGTTTTTTTATTGTGAAAATACTGTACAGAGGGGTTACAATTACATGAACAAGGAAATCAGTACTTTTTTTTATCAAGCATTGTTGCCTCCTCCTTTGTTTTTTCTCCTACCATCCCTGCCCTCCCATCTCCATGATTATACCCCCCCCCCCCAAGTTGTAAAGATCCTTTTTCGACAGAGCATCTTGTACATCTCATTGTTGCAATGGGTCCATCTGTATCCCTATTTAAACAATTTGTTTTTTCCCTTCCCCTCCACAAATTATATCAACATCAAATACAGTGAAAACAGGGGTTATACTGTGGGGGAGGGACATACAAAACAATAAAACAATCACTTTATAAATATGTTAGAAACAATAGCAAGAAAGTAAAAACCACTTGTGTCCTTATTTTGGGGTTCATTTCACCTAACATCATCTTATCTAACCTTTTCTGCTTGTCTCAGACAAGTTATTGCAAATAAGGGAAATCATGAGACCTATGTTTCTTTGGGCCTGGGTTACTTTACTTAATATAATTTTTTTAACTTTCTTCTATCCACCTTGCTGGTGGAAGTAGTAACTATTGAATTATACAAATAAATATTAAACTAAAAAATAAACATTAGGGGCTGGGAAGGTGGCTCAGTGGTAGAGTGCTTGCCTTGCATGCATGAGGCCCTGGGTTCGATTCCTCAGCACCACATAAGGAAAAAATAAAAATCCGGAAGTGGCACTGTGGCTCAAGTGGTAGAGCGCTTGCCTTGAGCTGAAGAGCTGAGGGACAGAGCCCAGGCCCAGAGTTCAGGCCTCACGACCGGACCCCTCCCCCCCCCCCCCAAAAAATAAACATTAAACTAAAAAAAGATTCAACAAGTGCTATAGTGATAGAGGAAAACATCATCCTGATAAGTCATAGAAAACCTAAATTAATGTCCCAGAAATGATTTTAAAAAAATACAAGCTTATCCTAATGCTGTCCTTCCTCATAAAGCTCATGGCATGGCTCTGTGAGCTAATATATATGACTATGCCTAATACAGTGCGTGGAATGTGATCTATATAATGTCTGTGCATGGTTTTTATTTTTTTTCTCTTTCTAATTTTTCTTTTCCAATAGTATTTTCTGGTCTCTCATTTTGTTTCCCCTTAATCTGTAGTATTTGTACTAGATGAGCCCTTAGAGATAATTTAGTATGAGGCTTTCATTTTATAAATGAAGAAACAAAGTCCCAGAGTGAGGCCACATGTTTACCAAAGGGAAGAATGTTCTGTTACTAAACTGTATTGTATATTTTAAGTAATGACATTAAAAGTGAGTACTTGGTGCCTTCCCAGAAGTGAAACAGGAGTTAACATTTGCTGATGATTTTGATTCAGAACACAGTAACACACATCTTCCAACCGAACATTTAAATAAATAAGTTCAAACTGCAACCAATTTTCTAAAATGATAGAAGTATTGTTCCAGACATTTTATGGCAGAATAAATGTGACAAAATGAAGGCAAGGAACTTGGCTTTTCAAGTTCCTGGCTATACTAAAGTTACAAGCCAGAAATTTGAACACTGTTCTCAGTGTGGAGGGCGATGTGTCTTAAAATAGACATTCTGTAAATATATATAGCAAAGAATATAACAAGACATCACTTTAAACATGAAAAATAAATTGCATATATCATAGTATATAAAACATAATTATAATGTGTCCTTACTCTTTGCAAAAATTAATTTTAAACATGAATACAGACCAGAATATAGACCACAAAGAGCACCCACACCCAAAAAGCCACATAGAAGCTATGGTGTGGCATGTGGCTCTGTGGTGTGGGCAGGGGCCCAGGAGATCAGAAAGCTTTTTATGTTTCCATTTTTAAAGTACTTGCAATTGTTTGATTTAAAATATATATTAAAAAATTAGCTGCAAACACTATTTATAGTTACAGGAACTTTTCAGAGAAAATAACATAAAAGCACTACAGAGCTACTGAAATTTTAAATAATTCTTTGTAAATGCCCTAGGTTAATTTAGATCCCTGAAAACACATTAGGAAATTAAGCTGTAATGTGAGCTAATTCAGATTTTAATTTGGCAAAAAGAATGATCCAACTACACAGTTAATGTAAATAGAAGCATAACACAGGGAAATTAATGAGGTTTCCTTCTGATGAATCTTCAAGGAGGTAGATAATTAGCTTCTTTTGTTATTACTGTAGGAGAATGTGGCATTGTCTCTGAGGTGTAAAATAACTGTGGCTTACTAAGTGATAATGTGCTTCGGTTGTCTTTTTTAAAATAATTATTTATGTTAAATTCTTGTAGGATGAGGCAGCAGCACAGCCTCTGAATCTCTCATCCCGACCTAAGACAGCAGAGCCTGTGAAATCCCCAACATCTCCCACCCAGAACCTCTTCCCAGCCAGCAAAACCAGCCCTGTCAATCTGCCAAACAAAAGCAGCATCCCCAGCCCCATTGGAGGAAGCCTGGGAAGAGGATCCTCTTTAGGTAAATGGAAAAGTCAACACCAAGAAGAGACTTATGAATTAGGTAAAAGAAAGCAAACCTATTTAGTGATGACTGATTCTTGTTTCCAACTTGTTGCTTAGTAAAAGATAACAGTACTTTGATCTTTTCTAATGAAATGTTGCCCAGTGTAGTGTCTTAGGTGATCAGAACTTTTGGAAAAGGTCATAACATAAATCTTGCCAGATGAACTCTTTAGATGATGATGAGTCGATGGAGCAAATCAGAAATCTAGTACTTGCTGTATTTCCTTGGAGCTTTGTTTCTTAAGTAAATCTCCAAGGACATTAAGACCTGGCCTCTGAGCTGCCTGCTCAAAGTAAAAGAAATTTTCTGGGAGTTTTGTATTTTCCCTTCAAAACTATATGTGAATTTTAACCTTACAGTAACTCATATTAGTTTTGTATTAAGACAAATACAGATGATATGTTTCAATAACATAGGAAATAACATTAATATCCAGGAAGCTGTGTCTTAAGGATCCTCTTCCTTCTTTAGCCTGAGATAGATGTTGCAAGTTCTCTAGGCATATTCACACCCTTGCCTTGAAAACTATGGAGGAAAACTTGGATTTTATAATAAGACATGCTAAACTAAAGCCTTTGCTGACTACCTGGATGGTCATGAGAAAGTTATTTAATATTCTAAACTCATTTTCCTAAGCTTTAAAAGGAGAATGATAGTGCCTGTTAGGCAATAATATTGTTCATAGTTTGTTATGAAGACTAAGGGAGAAAAATACATGTATAGCTGCCAAATACGGTATTTAGCCCTGTAAGGCAATCAAATCAATTATTTTTTAAAAAGCAAAAATAAATGTGTACCAACATGTTTACCTGTTGATGTAAGATGAAGGAAGAAAGATGAAAAGTACTTTTCAACAAGAAAGTGTCAAGTCTCTCAACATTAATATTATTATACTTTTTATTTATCTTGTGTATGTGTGTGTGTGTGCGCGCACACGCGTGCATGCATGCATTTGGTCCTGGGGCTTGAACTCAGGACCAAGGTACTATCCTGAGCTTTTTTGCTCAAGGAGATAGCACTCTACCAGTTGAGCCACAGCTCTACTTCTGGCATTTTGGTGAGATTCCAAGGAGTTATGGATTATATCTAGTTTATTATTATCTACCTTGTGTCAAGCCAGCTAAGGTTATTTTATTTAATAGATTTTAAAATGTGTGACTATAGCCATTTATAGTTTTTACAACATTCTCGAGTACTTTATTTCATTTGATTTTTCACAATAATTTTATGAATCAGATAGCATGTTATTACCACCCTTGTTGTCCAGTAAGCTGTAGTATTTTCAGGTAGAATGGCTTATGTATAGTCCTGTAGCTATTAGTAGAGCCAGCTCTGAAACCCAGGTCCACTTATACATAACTCAGTCTCCTTTTATAATCTCAGAGTTTTGCTATTTGCCGAGCTGCACTGAGTCTGAGAGACCCTCTGACAATCTTCCTTGTTGAAATCTAGGGCATTGGAATCTACACAGGAGCCTATTCATGTTTTAAGTCAGGATGCCTGTTGCAGAGACCCACAGGTTTTCCCCACAAGTCAGTGGTATCCATGTGGAAGAAAGAAGTGATTCATGCCCAGCAATGGATATGAAGAATATCTTTTGGCTGGGATTTTGGAAGTTGCCAGATGAGAGAGAAAAAGCTAACCTAATGATAAATAATAGACCTGCTTTAGAAAGTGGCCCTTTTAGAATGCACTTCTGTGTTTTATTTGGAAAGCATTTGTTCACTGTACTGAGCATTGAGAGGGACAAAAATGACTATGTCACAGGTCCTGCTGCTTGGGACTGATACCTCAGCCCAGTGTATTTCAGGTCATGAGCCAGATGGGCTAAAGTAATAGCACCTTAGGGTGCACAGCACTCTTGTGCTGAGAATATCGCACAGTCTTTTGCTGAGAAAAGCTTGAGAAAAAAAAATGATGTGGCTTTTCTATATCCTACAAAGGAACTGAGTGCTTAAAAAGTATTTTCAGAGATGACCTATCCAAAGACATTAGTGCACACGTATGGCACACATAAGGCATGTGATATAAGCCCGATTGTAGTCTGATTACCTTTCTTCCCTCTGTCTATATGAGATAAAATATGTACTATGATATGTTCATACAAAGCCTTTTAAAAGTGGATCATGCTACAGCAACTGAAGTCTATTCGTTATCAAACAATTGCCTTTCTTGTTGTCTAAAACTAGAAACCCTTATTCAAAGTGTCCTTTTTATCCAAGGTAAAAATGCCAGTTATGCAAGATGATTTGTTTCAGTTTGAGTTTCCTCCTCTGTGACTGGATCATAACGAAAGCAAATGTTTATTTTTGCTTTATTTTTGCAAATATTTACTTTTACCTGAGGACTCATCCTCAGGTGAAAACCACTCCCCCACTCAGAGCCTCACTGTCACGAAGACAGGGGGCCAAGAGCAGTGGGTGTTCAAGGTGGGGGCAGGGAATAAGTTGTCCTTCTCTTGGTAAATAACTGAGGCAACATGATGAGAAAAATGCTTCATTAACCAGCCAGCAATGGGGAATGGAGAGCATGATGCATTCCTCCCACTCACCCTCTCCTGCAGTAGACACATGGACAAACACACACAGATGTCACTAAAACGCATGCAGTATTTCACGGGGTCTTTTCTGCTAAGCTTGAAATCGCTTTTCTATACAAACATACCAAATAGAACAAAGAACCTGGGCAGATATCTCGCCTCCTTTCCACAGCTCTCCCCATTGTCTTCAACTTTATTGCTCCTACAAAGAGGAGGAAAGCTTGTTCATACACTATAGATGTATGAACTGGAGACATTTTCTCCCAAACTGACACACATTTGGTATCTAGGACCTTATCTACAAGAAGGGAGTAGAAGAATCCATATACTCTGGAGTGCTGGAGTATCCTCCCAGGCTAAAAGCACCAGCAAAGTTTGCTACCCCCAACTTTCTGTGCTCTATGCATGGTATTGTACACATTTACTAATAAATCACAAATGTGGCCCCTACTTCCTTATTGAGAGAATGTGATATTCTGTAAGGGGAGAGTAGATCTTAGCAGTACTTTATAGTCTAACCTCACAAGTCTCTAATAATGGATCCTATGTATGCAGATATCCTGTCCAGTCTCAATTCTCCTGCCCTTTTTGGGGATCAGGATACAGTGATGAAAGCCATTCAGGAAGCCCGGAAGATGCGAGAGCAGATCCAGCGGGAGCAACAGCAGCAGCAGCCACATGGTGTTGATGGAAAACTCTCCTCCATGAATAATGTGGGACTGAACAACTGCAGGAATGAAAAGGTAAAACCTTCTTTCCTCTGCCTTTGGCTCTGCGAGACCCATAGATTCCTTTTCCCTCACTCTTGTCAGGCTCCCACATGTCACCCAGCAACCAAGGGTCTGGGCTTCTCCCTTGAGGGCTGCCCTGTATTTAACTCAGACCTGTCATATGTCTCATTTAAGCATTACTTTCCCCTTCACTGAGATGGACTCCCAGGCATCCCCCCTACCTGCCTATGGGTGTATATTTCTTTCACATTCCAAAATACTGAAAGGTATCTTATAATAAAGAGTATATATGATTTCATTAGAATGAGATTAGAATATGCAAGCATTAAAAAAGAAGTATATATGTTCACAATGAAGGCTAATGTGATACCATAATTTATACCATTGATTTAATACTAAGTCTCCTGTCAACCTGGGCAAAATATAACACACAGCAGTTTGTAAAATGCGTTCCTTTTTGTTTCTGATTTTGCAAATTATCTAACTAGCATCTATTATCTATCTAGTATGTATCTATCTAGTAATAGATTATAGTCAGGCAGTGATGATACAGCAGTGAGCCAGTGGCTCGTGCCTGTAATTCTCATTACTCAGGAGGCAGAGACCTGGAGTTTTGCAGTATGAGGTTAGCTGAGGCTGGAGACGTGACACAAGTGGGGAGAGCGTCAGCTGTGAACAAGCAAGCTGAGTAAGAGTGCGAGACCCTGAGCTCACGCTCTGATTTCAGAGTTAAAACAGAGCTTCCTGTCCTCAAGGGTTTCATATCTATAATATACTTAGAATCAAAAAATTAAACCCCCCAACAACAAATCCTCAAAGAAACAACTGCCCAATAAATAAGTGGGCTAAAGACTTAAAGAGAAACTTCTCTGAGGAGGAAAGAAGGATGGCCAATAGACACATGAAGAAATGCTCAACCTCCCCAGCCATAAAAGAAATGCAAATCAAAACAACATTGAGATACCACCTCACCCCAGTTAGAATGGCGATAATCAAGAACTCTAATAACAACAGATGCTGGAGGGGATGTGGACAGAAGGGAACCTTACTGGGTTGTTGGTGGGAGTGTAAACTTGTTCAACCACTTTGGAAAGCAGTATGGAGGTTCCTCAAAAGACTCCACATAGAGCTCCCCTATGACCCAGCAATCCCACTTTTGGGCATTACCCTAACAATCACAAACAAGGCCATATTAAAGCTACCAGCACAACTATGTTTATTGCAGCATTATTTACCATAGCTAAGATATAGAAGCAACTCAGATGCTCCTTAGTAGATGAATCGATCAAGAAAATGTGATGTGTGTGTGTGTGTGTGTGTGTGTGTGTGTGTGTAATGGAATTCTATGCCTCCATCAGAAAGAATGACATTGCCCCATTTGTTAGGAAATGGAAAGACTTGGAAAAAATATATTAAATGAAGGTAAGCTAGGCCCAAAGAAACATAGGTCCCATGGTTTCCCTTATTTGCAATAACTAGTCTATGTCTAGGATAAGCAGAAAAGGTAAAAAGCTATGTACATAGGACTATATAAGATGATACTAAGTAGGGCTGAGAAGGTGGCTCAGTGGTAGACTGCTTGCCTTGCATACATGAGGCCCTGGGTTCGATTCCTCAGCACCACATAAGCAGAAGTGGAGCTGTGGATCAAGTGGTAGAGCATTAGCCTTGAGCTGAAGAGCTGAGGGACAATGCCCAGGCCCAGAGTTCAGGCTGCACAACCAAAAAAATAAAAAAGATGATGCTAAGTGAAATGAACCTCAAGATAGGGACACAAGAAGTTTTTTTCCTTTCCTGCTCTTGTTTTTAATGTATTTGTAATGTACTATGTGATTTTTTTTGTTTCTTTTGTTTGTTCTTCCCTCATGGTATAACCCCTGTTGTCACTGTATTTGATTATAGTGCCCTGCATCTTGTTTATACATTTTTCTTTTCTTTCTTTTTTGTGTTTTTGCCAGTCATGGGGCCTGAACTCTGGGCCTGGGTGCTGTCCCTCAGCTCTTCAGTTCAAGGCTAACGCTCTACCATTTGAGCCACAGTGCTACTTCTGGCTTTTTCTGCTTATGTGGTGCTGAGGAATCAAACCCAGGGCCTCATGCATGCAAGGCAAGCACTCTACCACTAAGCCACATTCCCAGCCCTTATACATTTTTCTAATTTGGGGAGGGGAAGGGAAATAAGGATACAGGTTGACCTATTGTAACAATGAGATGTACAAGACACTATGTTGAAAATGAACTTTACAACTTCTAGTCAGGGAATGGTAGAGTTGGGGAGGTAGGGAGGGAAGGGATAGTAGGGGAAAACCAAAAGAGGAGGTAACAATGCTCGATAAGAAATGTACTTGTTTACCTTACTCATGTAACTGTAACCACTCTGTACAATGTAAAAAAACACTAATTTAAAACAAAAGAAAGAAAACAATAAAAAATCCTTGTCCTCATAGAGCTTACATTTTAACAGAGGGACACTGATGATACAGAAATAAAGCAAATAAAGTAATATGGAGGTGGATAACTTTCCATGAAAAATCAAGCAAGTAGGGACATGGCAGCTGTAGGGTGGCTGAGATGTAATGGAAAGGAGTCTCTTGGAAAGTGACATTGAGAGTTCTAGCACTGAGCTAGTGAGGAGCATTCTAGGCAGCAGAGCAATCAGCTGAGAGGCCAGAGTGCTGCAGGAGAAGGGGTAGCAGGAGCCCATGAAGGCACAGACCCGGAGAGAGCATACTAGAGAACAGTGGGATATGATTTTGTGTGCCCTTTATTCTGCTTATAACAGGAATCCCCGGGTCAGTTCTGTCCAGGGTGTAAATCTATCTCATTTACGTATAAGAAGATCATTAGGCTTCCTGTGGAAGAATGGCCCAGCTGAGGGATGATTGTAGGAGACAGCATGAAAAATTCTGATTGCCTGGTAGAATGAAATTATTTTTTTTTAAGATGGTGGGCTGGGAAGGTGGTAGCGTGCTTGCCTCGCATGCATTAGGGCCCTGGATTCAGTTCCTCAGCACCACATAAACAGAAGAAGCGGGAAGTAGGCACTGTGGCTCAAGTGGTAGAGCGCTAGCCTTGAGGCTAGCCTTGAGCTAAAGAGCTGAGGGACAGCGTCCAGGCCCAGAGTGCAAGCCCCACGACTGCCAAAAAAAGAAAGAAAGAAAGAAAAAATAGTACCTTTCCAGTGCTGAATCACGAGAGGTTTTTATTTAGAGAGGAGCAAGGGATTATGATATAGGGACAAAATGTATAACATGATGGGTAATGGTAACAGTGTTAGAGTAAATTTTTCTAAATGTTTCCATTTATATGTTTATTCAGTAAAGACTATGAAAGTGAGGGTCACGAGACCACCTTTTCATTCCACTTTTTATTCATTCTGGCATGGCTGCTGTGGTAGTCTTCATTCATCAGAAGAGATCTTGTATCTTCCCCAGTTCCTAGAAGCTGGGAGTGTGGGATACTGTCTTTTGGTTTTTCTGTGTTTCCTTCTCAACAGAGTAGGTGATGTGACAGTCTGGAGACTCTGGAAATGTGGTTGTATGCATTTCCTAGGGATGTTTTTTTTTTTCTTTTTGTTACACTTTGAGTAGCTTAAAGCAACAGAAATTTTCACACACCCAGTTCTAGAGGCCAATCACCAGCCAAGGTGTCTGCAATCAAGGAGAATCCTCTCCTGAGGATGGTTGTAACAGATTCTTGCTGTTGCTTGGCCTGCAGCTGTTTCTCCCTAGTTTCTGCCTCTCTTTAATGGTGTCTTCCCTCTGTGTGTGTCTGTGTTCAGCATCTATCCAAATCCACATGACCATATATTAACTCTCAGCTACAAAAATATATATTTCAAATAGGATGACATCTACAGAAACTTCAGATGAAGATGAGTATATTTGTTTGGAGGGCACAGTTCAACCCATTACAGTAGAACACAGAGAGCTGCTCACTCTGAACCTAATTCTTGCCCTTACCTACCTATTATTGGTCTACACTCAGAGACAGCTGTGAAGAGAGCTTGGAAAGGATTTTGTAGGATGGGAAAATGATGGGATTCTTAAAGCATGTAGTGATCAAAGCCCTCACACAGATTAGGAAGCTTAGCTCTGAGAGAATGTTGACTTCCCAAGGCTTAGTAACGAATTTGATTTTACTCTGTTCTCGCTACACCGAATGTGTATGGTGCATGTACATATGTATGTGTGCATATATGTGTGCACATATGTTGTATTTTTATTTATATATTTTATTTTTTATTAAAAGTATAAAAGAGAGTTCATTGTGATAATTCTATAGATATATATGATGTACTTTGAACAAGTTTGCCCTGCTCCTATATTTCGCTGTCTCTCTTTCATCTCCCTTTTTGAAACAGTATGTGTGTGTGTGTGTCTGTGTGTGTGTCTGTGTGTGTGTGAGACATTCTTCCAGCCTCTCTATAATACTCGCTGCTTTTAGTACTTTTGTGTGTATGGTCAACATTTTCTTTATCCTTTCATCGGTGTTGAGGATTTAGGCTAATTCATCAGCTTGGTTTTTTCCCCCATCTTTCCTTAGATTTGAAGGGGCACACACTTCCTTAGAAACCTTGTGTAGCTCCATGTTACATTCCTTATATGATGGGAAAACACACGTATCATGGTGTGCTGAGTCCTGTGGTATGTGCTAAATTGTATATACTTTTGTATACTTGAGATTAATCATGTGCTCTAATGGAGGCTCTACCCTCATGGTTTATCTAATCTTAATTATCTCTAAAAGACCCATATCCAATTACTATCACATTGGGTGAGGACGTCAACATTTTGATTTTGAGAGGACACCTAAAGTCATCCATAGTCCCATGTTGTTGAGTTTGTACCACCAACTGGAAGTGAAGTTCAAATGCAGACTCTGTAAAATTCACAATTATCTTTGACTTCTACAGATTATATATTTCTCATTAACTCTTAAATTCGTTTGGAGTCAGGTAGCAGTGCCTTGTAGCTATAGCCCTAGCTACTCAGAAGAGGCTAAGATCTGGAT